AAGTACTTTAAACTGTATAAATAATGTAAAATTAAATTGATTTAAACAGCCAATCATACGAATGTCTGCCTATGAGGCGCGCAGCTAATAGTTACGGCTTGTCATTGATTTTTATTTTTTGCTGCGGCTGCGCCATCGATCTGCACTTTAGGATGCTGTCCTGGTAAGATGGCGCAAAAATTGGCGGTCCCGTGATTTTTATTCAATCTGATACTGTGATTGTAAGATCAGTGAAAAAAAGAAATCGCAAAAAACTCCTGCACAAAAATTTAGATATATTCTTGAATTAGTCACGGGACCGCCAAATTTTTGCGCCATCATTATTTCACTCCAATGCTAGTCTATTATAAAAAAATAAATTAATCGATCCCGCAGTAATTATCAATCTTTTAGATTTAGCTTAGCACAGATTTCAAAAATCCTATCGTAAAATATTACACAAAAAACAAGCTTTTTGTTTTAGCAAAGAAATTTTCTTACAATCTAGAAAAATTTTAAATTATAATTTAAGTATGTTATAGTATGTTATATTATTAAATAAAAAATTAAAAAAAAATTTAAATAAATAATAAAATTGTTATTTCCGATTGATGAACGAACGATCATAAATGAGAGGAGAAATCGTACTTCGAGCCTTTAATTTTATAATTTATTTTTACTAGATTTGCCTTTAAAAACCTGATAGTACAATAGTAATATCTATGAAATGTAATCACACATAATATATATATATCTGATCTAATTTTCACGAGCTGAATTTGATAAATAATAATTATAAGTAAAGTCCGAATTTCATTTTCTTATGGTAGTGTTCAAATGATTTCTTATATTTTGGGTTTATACATTTAACCTTTCTTTTTTATCTATGTTACTTTTTTTTTTTTTTTTATTCATCTTATTTTTTTAATTAGCTATCGAATCTTACGTTAATTTATTTTACATATGGGATCTTAATTCTATTTCGATTTACAACATATCGAGCTATCCTAAGCAAACTAACGCCCCTAGCTGTCCCACAAAAATTGTTCATCCCTTATAATATTGGCCAATCGAATTTCAGGATCAGGTGTAACGTAAAAATCGAAGCGAAGCCACTTTTTTTTAAATTTTTAATTAGGAAACCACCTTCTGCGACCTAATTAAAAATGTTCCTCGTGAAATTTTACCAATAAACTCAACTCTAGTCCTACGTTGTTCTCACCCTAACCCAAGGTTGGCACATTTATCCATTGGGACGAATGGAGAACAACTCTATTGACATTGTTCCATTGCTCCATTGAGAATAATTTCTGAATGGAGCCAATGGAAGCCAACCAACTCCATTGACATTGTTCCATTGCTCCATTGAGAATAATTTCTGAATGGAGCCAATGGAAGCCAACCAACTCCATTGACATT